CACTGATCATAGAAAAACTGATTCGAGATCATAATAGTTCTTTCAACTTGTAGTTTGAAGCTCGCGCTCAAATTTCAAAAAAACGAGGGGCCGAACAGACGCCATTTGGCGGGATCAGCCTTTTTCAAAACCAGCGCTTGAATGATATCGGGTAGGCAGAGGCCATTAAAGGTTTGTATTAATGTTCATGTGTCCGATGAAAAAAGAAAGAAGTGCAAGGCAGAGAAACATTGTAGGATGAGGCACTCAGTGATGGGCTCTCTCTTATATATGTCCACTGTTCTCTGCACCCTCTTCTCGGAAGGCGACACTCGTTCACAATAGATTAAGCTCGATCCGTCTTTTCATTAGATCACGTGTAATTTAATAAACGCTGCCGATAAATGGAATATCGTGATCAGATCTATATATCATGACACTTAATAGTGCGAAGTAGTGGGGGGGGGGGGGTGGGTAGTCGTGGACATTCCTTTTTACAATTTGTTTGTTTCGGTTTTCTCTAGTGACGTCAGTTTGTGAATATTTCGTTATAGCGCGCAATCAGAATAAAAAGGTTGCTGGTGATCATCTGATCATTGGGTTTAGTCTCTGAAACAGGACAAGGCCTGACCTTAAGAGCACGCATGATTTGACAACGCAGTTAAATTCCATTAGTATCTCTTCTCATAAATAAAATTACAAATAAATACATTCATATTAAAATATTTACAATATAGCTATAAATGTGAATATGTACACTTTTGTCTCTTAGGTATAAAGTTTGAATTTTCTATATAAACTATAGTACATCAAGTACAAAAAGTATAATTAATACGTAGCATTTTAGATAGTAGACAAATGAAGTGACTTCATCTCTCACGAGGTGATAGTACCACATCAACAACAAACAAGGCTTCAATGTTTTTATATTCGCAGTTGTCAAAATCCTATTCTGGTGCAGCTGTTTGATAAGAACACACAACCCCGCAATCATAATCGTAAAACGCGGCCCCTGGAAATGATCCCGTTCGCTGGTAGTATGAAAATGTCTCTTGAATTTCCACCATTGATCGTCCTGTCAATAAAGACTGTTGCAATGTCCAGATGTATCTGTTAGCACAGCGCAGTAATTCAAGTTTCGTAATCTTTCGACGCTCTCGAAGTTCAGGTATCACCTTGCGAAGCATTTCCATAGCTGAGTTGATTAAGTTTACGCGACGCCGCTCTCTATCGTTCGCGCGTAAACGTTTCACTTTCAAGGTTGCGGCATCAGCCACTCGTCTTGTGAAATCGTAGTCATTTTGTCTGCGTGGAGACAAATCAGCTGTTGGATTCTCGCTGTCGATGCTTTGCGTGTCTGAGTTTGGGCTGGGTGGCGTTATCGAGGAATTATTGTCAGAGTCGTACATGAATGTTTCGTCGCAAAGGATCCTCTCTTTGATGCAATCTGACAAAAGAAAGATACTGTATTTAAATGACAGATAGTTTTGCATACATCAAAGAACTAGTTTCTATCTACTACCATCATCACTAACACCAAGCATAACAAATTACTGTATTTATTTATCAATTGTATCTTTAAAAATTTGGATCTGTATAAAAAGATATTTTCATTGATAAAATTTTGCAAAAAAATTTGCTGACACTTTGAAAGAGAGACATTATTTCTTGGCAGCAAGCTATTTCTTGGCAATATAATTAAATGTTAACAAATTGAGGATTTTCTTAGACTTTAATTTTTTAGGACACAATATTTTTAAACTACTGTGCTAATAATATCCTTTGTAGGAAAATAAATCTGAATAAAAGTGAAATTCAATCAAAAATACTATGGATACAACTTTAACTTTTTGGAAGCAAATATGGAGAGTTAAGGCCTAAAATTAAAGACGAATAGAAAATTTAAAAGGGAGAACACATTTTAAATTATTTGGAACAACCTAGTAAAGACTAAAATTGTTAATATTTTGATAACTGAAGGCTCAAGATGGAGGATCGTAAATGTTGATTTCAAAAATATGCTGTATGTTATACAGAATTCATTTACTGGCAACTAACAAACTACAAAGAAATCTTAATTTTTTTGTACAAGGAATAGCGTATTGTTGCTAATTAATTGACAGTCTGGATAGAAAACAAACAAAGGCTTACCTTTCTCCATCTCCTCTCTCTTTTCCCTCTTCTCTCTAATGTGTTGAACCAAAGGAACCTTTATACATTTAGTTGAAGTCAAGTTCTACTATACAACTTCCCTTTTATAAACAAACTCAAGTCAGAGAACAATAGAGAGGTCAACCTCGTGCTCATATTGTTAAAATCAACAATGCGCATTTTCCCAAGACAAAATGTCATTCAAACTACATAAAGGTGAGCGTACGAGCCGACTTAAAGGGAAGCGTGGACTTTTAGAGATAATTGAATATCATTAGAATTAATTAGAGTTAATTGTGAAAATTCAGACAAAAGTGTACCCTTTACCAAAATTCTGAAGGTGATGGTAGGGATGATCAGCAGAAAGCCTTCATTTTGTGAAATGAGAAATCAGGAGATAAAATTGAATATACATTCTATTTATTCTATCTATTTATTGTTTTTTCTTCCTGTCTTAAAAACCATAAAAGTAACATGAGGTGTACACTCTCTTAAAAGAGCCTTGACTTCAAGAGACAGACTAAAGCAGAATCTTGGATTAATTGCCAGCATTTTAATTTTTACCTTACTGGTTCTTATTTGTTTTTGCAAGCAAAAATGTACTTGATACAAATAGGCAAAAAGCATTTTTACAAACCAATTTCCTTTTGAAAATCAGTTTTCTATGCGCATTTATCATCTTAACAAGGAATTTTAAGCTGTAGAGTTCAAGTTAGAAAGAAGTGTATCGCTTAATCTATTTGCGAAGACTTGCGCTGACTAAAGTGCTATTGTTTATGAAACATTACATCTGCTCGTGAGGTATGTCGACGGTAGCGAGATGCGTTTACAGGGAGACTCTACGAGATGTTTGTATTAAAAATAGCGATTCTTGGATATTGGCGGCGCCATACTCCTTCAGCAACGAGAAAATCTTAAGAATCTCAGGCCCGACCTACACGCACAGATACGCTTTACGATAACATATTTGTTACTATTTTGCTTTGAGGCCACACGAAAACGTTGGAATTTCAAAAAGGAAGATTTGAATATCGTAAAATGTCGTAAATACCGTAAATTTGTTATATTTTTGGATGGGGGGCTTATACGAGGAGGAGGAAAGCTTTTAAAATTAAAGTAGACATCAAGAAGACATTATCAAAAGATCTCGTATTTTTAGCATGAACACTTAATTAATTATCACCAAAAGTATGATTTTGTGGTTATTCGATAAAACACCAAATGCCACCTCAGATGGCAAAAATCATCAAAGGGGGCCAATTCGAGGTTTTAGGGTATCGACGATTTGTAGTGACAGGGTGGGGGTCATGTGGAGGGGAGGAATTCGAGGATTTACGGTATGGGGAATTAGAAACAGCTCTTGAAAGCGGAGACATCGAGAATCTGTTATCGTATCGAACGCGCGTTACTTGATAATTAAACGCTGGCCTTTCCAGTTGCCTAAAGAACTGGAAAAATATAACTGGTAGTGGCGATCTAGGAAGAGCTTAGTGACAGGTTCACTGTATGATAACATTTCCAAACGAAGTGATATTTGGATCTAAATTCGTATATTTTCATAATAATATAGAAAAGATATTCGTCTCTAGAGAGCTAGCAAGATATTAAGGCCTAAACAACAAATTTTCCGCATTCTTTAATCAGAGGAGCGAAAAGAACATCGCACTTGCTTACATTCTATTCAGAGCAAGCAATGACAGGTTTTGCGCCAGCTACTGCAAGCACAATATCTCGTTATCAATCGACCCAACGGCTATGACGCTGATGAGGTTTTCTAGAGGCCTGGAAACCACAGTGGTCTTCTGAAGTTGGTGAAGGGCACTTCTACGTTGGTGAAGGGCACTTTATTGAAAGCGTATGCGGATATAATATGACATATTAACAATGTTATGTTGGATAGCAAAATTGAAATGAAAGATGCAGTCTCAGTGTGTAGAAGGGAAATTGATGCCTCATAACTTTCATGTTCCGACCCCGACATCAGAATCCGACAAAATTGTTCACACTACCGAATAAAGGCAATTTTTTCACGAACGTTACAGCAACTAAATATTCTATTTATATCAAAAGGAAGGGTCATACTCAAGGGACTTCATGGGAGGTGGTCAAGGGAAGTCAGGTGCCACTTTTATCATCCGGTCGAAAATGTTTGTATCTTGCTCGATGTTTCAAGTCGGATGAAAATGAAAATTTTGAAGTTAGTCAGGCAACAAATGCTAAATACTTCAAAAAATTATTTCGTCGCAATCGATTTAGAGAAATGCGGTGTTTCGGTATTGTCATGAATTCTCCAAGGTTGTACATGGGGTTCATACATGGGCTTCACAACAAGGGAGAAGTGGTGTTACGCCAAACAAGAAGAGAGAAAGCCTTGATGGAAGATAAGGAGCAGTGCATATTTGAAGTCATCCTATTGTAGAATCTACTACTTCTTCGTCCATTGGTGAAATTTACAAATAAGTGTTCTTTTAAATTGTCTTATATACAAATTATTTCTTGATAAATCATGAACCACAACAAATATAATCTAAGTTGTCTACATGATTGAATAATAACTTATTAGTAAATATTACTGCCGTATTAAGAACAGGTGCAGTCAATGTAACAAGACAATATTAATTGAGGGCGAAGACAGCACGAACAAATTGAAAATCGCAGATTCTCTTTTGAAAGATTAATGCTTTTTTGGTTTTCAATCCCGTTTTGAAAGAGAAAGATTTCAGGGAAAAAATCGGAACATTTTAAGGAAAGAACACAAGGGAATATTTTACATACTGGACTGAAAACAGTTTTTGCAAATCTGGCCATTCTTTCAAATGGCAGTAGAATTTTTGGTAATTCGACACAACTGGGCCTATGAAAACCATATTCTTACAAAAAGATGGCCTTGCCAGTGAATCCGAAGTGAAGAACGAAAAGATACGTCAAAATTGTATATTAAACATTCCATCAATTTACATTATTTCGTTCAAGATTTATAGCTTACATAAATCGAATTTATGAGTCAACTAACATCTATTGTAAAATAGTGCTTCCTATCTTTTCTACCTAAACTAAGATAAAAACAAATAGATAAATAGATAATCAACATATGATACAAACGTGAGAAATGACTGAAGGATAAACTACAAGAAGTGCAAGCCATGAGGTTTTTGGCATTTAGGCTTGAGGAAGTACTGCTGTCAAGTCCCCCTGTTTGTATCAATTTACTCTTGATCCCGGAGGGCAGGGGGTACCTAATGATATTTAGCATAGGGGTGTTCACTGGGGTACAAACTATCCACCCCCAAAAAATTCTAGCATAAAAATAAACCAAATAAAAAATAAACCAAATAAAAATAAACCAAATAAAAAATAAACCAAATAATCTCGCCCTGCACAAAGAGTTTGCAATTTTACTCCATTTATTTCAAACTTTTCTCATATTTCATGAAACAAAAAAAGTAATTATAAAATTAACTGAACCAAAAAACTTTTCCTTTAATTCGACATCTAAAAGAATAACCCGAACACCCCTATCCTAAAGATATGAGTACCCCCATCCAAGGGAATTGATCAAGTATTTAAGCGTTAAAATTTTTTTTGGCTGCTTCATAACATCATAAAAAACAAGGTAAATGATTTACGTCACTTTGAAGTTCTAGATATCTTTTTGCCTGGAGATTTACTGTATGTTTTTGCATGCACTTCGGTCAAATTGCACAAGTAAAATCATAAGTGACATTTTCATGTCAGATCACAGTCATTTATTATCTTTCCATTCTTTATATTTGTATCAAACACGCATAAAATATATACAGTTTCAGTCTCTGAAACGATGAAACTAGAAATTAAGCTATTCCGTCTTTATTTCGTTATGAGGTATTTGAGTGTGTGTTTGAGAACACAAGTTTCTATTGAATCCATAATCGACAAATAATTTTTCTACCGGCACACTGTCTAACGAGCCCCTAAAGAAATAGAATTCTATGATGCGTGGGCTAATAGACCTAAGGGCTGCAAGTGAAAGGAGCATCTTTCCAAACCGGACAGGTACGTCCGGGCTTCGTGATCTTGAGTATTCGGACAGCATTACTTGTGCTTGGTCTTGGAGATTCTCTACGTGACTTATGGAAAGTATGTTGCGGAGCTCTGTAATTGAAATAAAATATCATGAGAACAGTGACAGTAAACGATTCTGCTGGACGATCTATTAATTTGTAAATAATGGCGTAACTGAATTACCTAGTGATCATTTGTGTGATCTAATACTTTAAGGTAGTAAAAATTACAACTCAGTTCTGGAATATACCGTCAGGTATATAAAAACCCGGCTTAGATAAGGACGCTACCGTTTATGTCCTAAATACATTGATATCATTTAGTATGTGTGCATTGTAAATTTTTTGGGCATAACTTTCAGTGTAGGTTAGGGCTGCGGTGTGAGAGGCAACTCGATAACCCAGATTCGCTGCCTCTCACGCGAACAGTTCAACTTAATTTTGTATTGAAGTAGTTCTGGGTACTTCAAATTTCGTTATGAAGAAAGTTCCTTGTGCTCAGAAAGAAACAAGGGGTAGAAAGTGTGTTTGCAGATGCTTACTACCTAAGCTCATTGGCAAGGTACCAATAACTATTTGCAAATATTGAAAACAAACTAACATTAGAGAAAACTTTGTTTCAATCACTGTTGATAGCTAGAGTACACTTTAGATCATCGCCCATAAAAAACAGCAAAAATTCGTAAATTTTAGCTGGAAATTTATCTCACCTGGCTTAAACAGCGATATGGCTTTAAGGCAAGCATATTCTGTTGAATCTAATTGTAAGCTCTTAAATTTATTCACAACGTTTTGTAGATGATTTAGATCTGCAATGGCACCCATTATTTCCCCAGTTGTTCGGTTCTCCTTGTCAATGCCAGCTGCCTTGAGCATAACATGCAAGTCGATTTCTACGTCCCATTGTGCCAGGCTCAATAAGAACAGATCAACCCAGCTCTCTTCCAAAAGCAAAGCCTGGTCTTTGAAAGGAAGTTCAAGGAATGTGGGGATGTTTCTTGCCCAAGTAATGGTTGAGTGCAGTACTCGAACAGACAATTCGTAAAGGGCATCAGGAGATTTTGGAACATGAGGAGGGTTCTTTGGTGTCAGAGGTGGAGTTAATGGTACACTACTTTGGCGACAGTCAGCGCTGCAAGGATCATTTATCTTCCTTGACGGGAACTGAAAGTGGTACAAATGGGAGTTTGGGCTTGAAGGCGACCGGTGGGTGCCACACTGTCCCTTTGAATCTTCTGGGATTTTTGAAGGAGAACTTACATCTTCGTCAATTCTTTGTTTTGCATTTCTTGGAGCTCTTTCATGTTGAACCGCTAAAATACAACGAAAAAATAATAAGATCTCGATTCTTAGGGTTACAGTGTCAAATCTTCTAGCTGTTTTAAAACAGTAATGCAAATAAAATCACAACTTTAAAATCAGTATTGCTGAAGGGCTACCGTCCTAAAACATAGGAAATGAAAAGAAAAGTAATGAAATTGAAATGAAATTAAAAGGAAATGAAATTGAATGAAATTATATGAAATGAAATGTAAAAGAGTCAGAAACAGTCACTGCACAGTTGGCAAAAAGATGGCTGAAACTCTGGCAATGTTTTGAAAGCACAATACGCTAACAGTCCAAACTGTGCTTCTAGGAGGAAATGCTGGAATGGCTCCTTAATTTTTCTGGTTCAATGAGGAGATTTTATCCCAAATCTAAACAGTGATACGTGTACAGAAAGCTAGTGCTAGGCAGTATCGATAATAAATGTATTGGTTTAAATATTTGAGACCAGTTTATGATATCTGCAACTGGACAAAACTACATAGCACGTGTACCTGGAGTGTATGTTTTTTATCATAGTGATATGAAATGTTCCTTTAGGTACATACCTAGATATTATATATTATACTACAGGCCAAGATTAAAATTGGCATATAACGTACCAATGTGACAACTTCTCAATCATATTTTAACCATATTAATAATTTTGCCACTCTATCTTCAATAGAGTGACAAATATAATCTTATGCTATTCACAATGCTTCAACTCTGCATGACCCGACAAATTTGGAGTTAGTTCAGGAAACCTGCGCTAAATGCCCCGTGATTTGCTATTGAGAGGAATTTCTTGTTTGCTGCGTGGGCAGACGTGCTTTGGACATGAAAGATTTCCAAAGAATGCTCTTGTGACCTGGCAGAAATTCTTGGAAACTTGTTTTGACTTTTTAGTCGACAATTGATACTTGAGGACCAGGACCTTGAAAACACGAATAAATAAATTTGTGCTTGATATGATATTTCACACATCTCAAGTGGATTTAGGAATTGGAAGGTTCCTGTACCTCGTTTCGTAGACACTAGACCAGGCTTCTTCTATACCTGCCCTGAAGAGTTGCGAGGACAATTATGTCATAAAAATTTGTTTTTAATCATTGGGACAAGATAATCTGAAATGTAATTATCATGTGTTCCTGCATATGAAAAAACAATTAAATCTATCAACAAATGGCTGAGAAAGAGCTCAATTAGCACAGGCTCTTTCCAAAACTCATGCCCAAAGCTAAACCGACTTAACTGATTTTGCAAGGCAAGGGGTATTTGGTGTCTTCTTAATATTTCAAAAGGTTCCACTTAACGAACTTTTAACAAGGGTATTAAGAAACAATCTTGCCAAAAATATCGTCTTTATTGAGTGAAACATGATACTACGTTAGCAGGAATTTTTTTTTCGAATTAGGTCTTTGGGTGAATTTCTCGGAAAAATCTATCTACGAACTTGCATTTTGATTCACAGTGCTACCGCCTCCAGCAGGGCTTGGTGACCCATCTATGTTACAGTTATCGTTTAAAAGAGTTGTCTTAAGCTAAATTCTATTTTGAAAGCAAACGATTAAGGAATGGGATCAACATCGAGATGACAAACATACACTGTCTTGATGCAGGCACGCCATCATGCAGATTTTTTTCTTAGGCCTCGACGCACCAGGGGTTCAATTGATTAAAAAGGGACTCGGATCACCACTTTCTTTGGAGTTCATTAGCGAGCTTGGTAAAATTCTTGTTAATAGAATATGCGCCGTTAAGTCACTTCACATGCTTATAATGATAAAATTCAAGAACATATCAGCATTTCCATTGCAGAAAATACGTCGAGGGAATAGTCCAGTTTACAAGTATAAAACGACAAGATGTTTAACTTCCCTCGGAACAAGCGCTTTTATGTGACTTTTAGAAGAGAATCATTTTGCTAGCAGGCTTTGGCTGGTCAGTTATGTTGTTTTCTTTCGTTGCAAGAGGTAAATGATCTGTTGATATCACAATAACGACAGGACTCGTTTTATTTCTTATACAAGTAATTAGACGTAGAAAAACAGCATTATTTTGAAGGGGATTGTTTTTATACATCTTATAAGGTATCTTTGAAACTTAGCTGTTTATGTTACCGATTCAACAAAATAACGAAATGTAAAATGTCGTATTCCATCACAATAAACCAACGTGCTGCAAAAGTGATGCACACAGTGTGGCTCAGGAATTCAAAACAGAGACAAATTTGACCAATGGCAAAGTATTTAGCTAAACTGGAGGCAACAGAACACGAATGGAATTTTGTTTTGCGAACTGTACGACCTTGATCCTGTCCTGATCGTAAAGCAAGTATACTAAGTCAGAAAACCCTGGATTCTTTAACGTTGACATCATATTCTCCTTTGTTCAAGCGCAGGATAGTCTCATTCTGTATACATCACTTACAATTGGATGTATTCTATTAAGCCTTTAGCGTATTCTTAATAGCCATTTATCGAATCAAGACCGTTAATCTAATACTGTAGATTTATTCTTGCAAATATCGCATTAAAGAAGACAATCCTTGACAACCTATAATAAAGCGTTATTAGCTAGTTTCAATGTACAAAAAAAACGAAAGAGTACTTCTCTTGTGTTTTATCGACAAATGTGCTTTTAATTAGACCATTCTAAATCTGAATCGATAGGGATACTTGCTAGGAAATCGATTGAGAAACACCTTCTGCCTGAAAACGTGGCTATGAAAACTTTATTTCAAAAAGAGGTTCAAAACGGTCCTGCCTATGTTTAAATAATATTAGTAACCCTAGCAAACATGTGCACTAAAATTTAAATTTTCAACACGGTCTTTGGTGATTCTATAATGTTCTAACGAAATCTACTAGCGAAAAGTCTTTATGAAACTATTTTTCACGAAAAGTCTTTAAGTGACAAATACCATAGTTGCAAACTAACCTAAGGCGATATCAAATATGGTTCGGTGAAACCAGCTTCTTTTCTAAAAAGGCATTACAATAGAAATTACTATGTTGTGTCGGTTATAGTGTTGATGCACATTTGAGCAGCGACAGTGGATCTGAACTTTTCGCCTCTATCATAGGAAAAGATTATAGAAAGCTAGTTCCTTTGGACCCCAATTTTAACCATGAACCAAGTCGACAACAAAACAATACAAGTAAAAGGTAGGGCATGCTGATAGAGATATTCCATCCAATAAGAAATATCTATTTCACAAACAGAAGAGGGTGGAAACAATAAACTGCTAGGCATTTCCGATTCCATTCTGAATGAAAGGCACCTCTAGGCAGTGACATCTAATGGCATTGTAAGAAGGCTAAAGTTTAAAACTTCTACAGATTAGCAGACGTGGCAGCTCAAGATGCTGAATAAACAGGCCATTTAAATGAAATTAGCGCGTATTATTATCTTTAGAAAGTGCAGAAAATAACAATAAAACCATGTGTCGTGTTTCGCAGAAAATAAAGGTTTTATTTTTGAAAAACCGTCTTGTGAATGTAAATATAACTCGATTACAACAGATCTAACAAATTAATCGTTTAAAGCCTTTTTAAACACTTAATAACCAAAACGATGTAAGGAGATACAACGGGAAGGTGGATACTCGTGCCGACAGAATAATACGCTGTGTGGGCTCCAAAGAATATTGCGGTAGAGCTTACATGCACAACCTTGCTTATATCATTAGGACAGTTAACATAATAAAGAAAACGAGGCTTTCATAGTTGCCAAGCTAGAAAAGAACATAATTGTTTAAGGATATACCCTGTTTAGCCGACTAACATCAATTCTAAAATCGATGCTATCAAAACTTTCTTACTGAATATCATAGAGAATGACCAAACGCTGGGTGAGGAGGTAGTAATGAAAGAACAAAAAATTGATTGTTAACAGAAGGTAATTCTACAAGGCGAACCTAACAGTCGAGCTGTTTTTAGCATAATTTTCTAAAGTTGCAAAGATAATACATTTTGCTGAAATTGAAATGTTGTTTAGAAGGCACTTCTTGCAGGATAGAGCAGGGATGCCTTCTTAAATGCTTTTCAGGGATAGGAGGGGGGCAGTTTGAGCATTGTTTAAAAGTTAAATGTTATGTGCGTCTTTGAATCTTCAGGAATCGTACTACGGATCGACAAAAATCGATTCAATGAATTTTGGGATGCTAGCACAATGCAATGTCTCATTGTTAGTAATAAATCTTTACAAGAGAGTTTTGCAGTAATTACCTCGCGCTTAAGTAAATAAACTAATGGCACATACAAGTGGTAATTCGCGAAGAAATTCGTTTTGATAAACACGGCCCTTTACAAAAAATTGAACTTTGTGATGAAAGAGATTGACCCTGCACTCAATAATATGCCCTAATTACCAGCCAATTTTTGCGGAGCCAGAAAAGGGCAGGTAAGATTGATCAAGAGTCAATTATATGAATCTATGAATTCAAACATGGAAAGCATGGTTTTTGATCGCATCCATTCATAGGCATGGAATTAAATTGCTTGCATTTGAACCGCAAGCAATGACACTGTTAGTCTTTAACAATTTCGTGCGTTCACGTTGTGAAGCATTTTGAAACAATTAAAGGGAATGGATGTCTTTTCATGATACATGGTCAGAGACAAATCTCTTAACGTAGTTTGGAGCTCCTGTGAATCTAAATCTAGAAATCCATGAAAAAGACCAAGTTTCTTAACAAGTTTCCTAGATATTAATCACTAATTGAAGTAAAACAATGATTCTTATCTGAATTTTTTAGAATATAGTTGAAGCATAAATACGGAAGATTGTGACTCAAATCTGGTATAGTTCAATTTCTAAACATGTAAACGAAACAGGAGTGCCTTATGACATTGTTATGTTGTCACAAAAAACAATAAGAACCGTATACGAGCATAAAGTTACTAATAACCAACGATAAATAAACGTTTGCATGAGGACCCAGAAAGAAAGCCTTGCATAAGAATCGTTTGTTATTTGGAAAGAAATCTAATCGATACAATGAAAATAAATGTGGCGGAACTTTAAGGAATCAAATATTGTGACGTCATTTTTCTTTACAATTATAAATCAGCTATGTACTATAACTCGAATGGCAACATTTCGATTTGTAAAAAATTGGCTAACGCTAAGTAAAATATCTTAGGACTTCTCTGATAACGAATCATTCACAAACAAAGAGAATATCATAAAATAAGATAAAAGGACTAGGAACCGTAGTATATATGTAATAGCAAGAGCTGCGAAGTAGCTTGGCGAAATCTTATAATAAGTTTGTTTATATTTGGTAGATGGGAAATTCAGTACTTTAGCATTTCTCGGTCTGCTGAGATACAAAGACGATAGATAGGTCACATAACAATTGAATATCAAAATACGAATGCGTATGAAATTTTCAATAGCATTTATCATTATCAATTTTGTATACAACAATTTTTAACCATCAAACATATTCCAAAACACGTTGCGGGAAAAAATTAAGAATTTCTTGAAAACCATGTAATAAGAATAAGAATTAAATAGTTGTTATAGAGCATGAAATGATAAAATCATAAGACATGAAGTTGATCAAAAATTAAATTTTTTGAAACTTGAAAGTTGAAAACTTTTGTATCTAGGATTAAAAAAGGATAGCGATGAAAAATGAGGTCTATAAATCAATGATCACTCACCAAGATTCAGAAATAGCATCGCCAAAGCAAAAGTAATAACTGGAAAACTCTAAAATATTTAAGCTCAAAAAAACTCCTAATAATTATGACATACAAAGAAAAAAATCATCATCTTCTATGGCAGCAACTCAAGATATAGAATGATTAACCATGATAAAGAATCATTCTTGACCGTTTTAATTTGGAAAGATGATCTTATTGGACTTGGGAACATGAAAGATCACTTGCTGTTCACTGGTCAATCGGAATTTTCATATGCTTGAACGGGCTTAGGCATGACTTGCAAGCCACTTGTGATCAGAAGTCCCACTCGAGATTCTTAACCCGTTAATACAATGATACTCTAACAAAATATGTCTTGATGCTAATAATTGTCAATATGCTGAAAAATAGTGAAATCTAGGGCCTAAATTTCGTCACATTAGCATTCAAGCTCGCGTATTTTTGACGTGGAAACAGGTCTTTTCGGGTAACCTGTGCAATGCCTGTTTTCCTGAAATGTTTATCATAACAATCAATAGTGAAACGCAATAAGTGATCTCATAATTTTTAATGCTACCTAGATGATATCAGCTGAGGTGTGATTTCACAGTTTACAAAGATCACGAAGCTACAGCAAAGACAAAATAGACAGCTTTAAATCGATCTACATCTACTTGGCAGATTGTCTTTAGATTTTGAATTGTGTTTGCATTTTAAATTAATATCAATTTGCTAGAAATAAATATAACTTGAACAAGCAAGAAAAGGAAATTGGACCTCATATTGTGCAAGGTGTTGGAGCAGATCTTTGCAGTTCAGGATATTTCTAGAGCCACATTTACTAGGAGTTAGCAAACTTTTAGTATCGACGTCCTGTATACCGTATACCTAAGATTCTTCAGAGATGTACTAGCATTATACGAAAGCGAAGATATATTTCAAGACAAATATTCAATTCGGCCCAGGTTCAATGAGCCTAGTTTTTCTGGATGCCGTACAATTCAAAATGTGTTTTATGTGTTTTATATACTATACAAGCTGTGTTTTATGAGAATGCAAATTCAGGCTGTGTTTTGTGGAAATTTGAGATTATTTGACTTTTACAGTGTATATTTCACTAATTAACCCGCTTGTAAAGTTCTTGACGATTTTTCAAAAGAAGGTCGGTTAATCCTATATAAATTCAAATAGCAATTGCACAAAGATCAAAATTTGTTTAGAACTATTAGAAGAAATTAATGTCAGTACATTGATAATGCTGAATTAAATTTACACTCATAAAAAAACCCTTTTAAGTAAAAAGGAGTTGGCAAGGAGATCGCGCTTAAATACTTAGGGCCTAAGACTGTATACCGTAAGAAAGCAACGTACACTTGTTCAAGTTGTTGCACTGCAAAATTCTATAACCTTTTATTGTTTAGTGCCTAGTACTTCAATCAATCAATTGCTTTTCTGCACTAGATGGGACCGGGTAGCGAACTTTCATTTTGTACCAAGTTTGAGTAAATTTTAATAAGATAAACTAAAGGAAGAGAAACAGAGCTACATTTTCCATTGTTAAATTACATAAAGACAGAACTGTGATAAGTAGCTTGCATAAAAGGGTGATTCAGGGCTTGTACTGTAAGTTGCCACTGTCGTCTAAGGAAGTGAGTTTAAAGTTGTAACTATGAGTTTCAACTTGTAACTGTGAGTTTTAGGTTCTAAGTTTGAGCTGTAAGTTCAAGCTGCAAAAGTAAATTTTTAGCCAGGTGCGACCATCATGCCAATTGCCCATAAGAAAGGCGACTTGAATGAAGAATTTGATATTATCGTAATAAGAAATCTGGGCGTTTCACCGACACAAGATAGAATGGATTAGGCGAAGGTTAATATATCGTCTGGTAAAAATCCACTTGAATGAAATCTCGCTTGAAAACCCCTTTTGGTTCACGCTTAAAAGCACAATTAAGCCGAAGGTTTTTGAAGGAAAGCAAAACAACCTAGATCTTTTACTTTATTGATAGGTTAATTGCTTAATGTGTGCTTTAAGAATATTTTCAGCATAGTATTGTAGAATATTATCAGAATGGCCTGCATCCATCAAAACAATCAACGAAGATCCACGTGACATTTATAGCAGCGGCTTGTAATATACCTAACAGCTAAAATTCAGAACATCGATTTAAAACTTGCGGCATCAACCGCTTATTTAATACGGCAAGGTAGTATGTGAAAACAAAGTCTAGTCCATTGAAAACAGATTAAATAATGTAAATGATGGGAAACTAAATTATATCTACCTTCTTTTTTCATTCCAACCTCATGGCATTTGCTAAGACGGCATGCTTGGCATTGGTTTCTGCGGCTTACATCGACGATGCAGTTGTTTTGCTCGCGGCAGACATAGATCAAGCTTCTCCGCACACTGCGCTTAAAGAAGCCGCGGCACCCGTCACAGGTAAGAACACCGTAGTGCCGTCCTGACGCCCGGTCTCCGCACACCAGACAATTTGAGTTCAACTTCTTGCCTGAAGATAAATATCTTGCTGTTGTTACATTGAAAAAATTATGTGTTGAATTGTATAAAGAAAGATATTTGTAGGGATTGGTATTTCGATGTCCATAAAGGCCTGATTTTGAGTTGACTTCCAAGACTATAATGATGCCTAATAGCTTTTATACTTTGCAATAGAAAATTTATCTGTCTGAATAGGATGGTGAGTTTGTCGTCGCAGACATGAATGTAGATCACACGCAAATGAATAAATGTAGGGAGGTAATGCTGCAATTATATTGATGAAACGTAGTTCAGATATTTCAGTATTTGATGGCTTGAGTAATGAAATATAATTGCCATTGCTATTTAAAAGCATGATTAAATCTGGATTATGCTCATTCGGTTATAATTTTCAGTTCATTTCTAAGATCTTTATCAAATAACCAGAGTATTTTCTATCATCATCAAACGCAATGACAGACTGAAGCCTTCCTGATACTCACTACCCTGTGATCAACGCTTAAACGCACGAAGTTTCACAAACAGCAAAGTTATCAATAAAATGAGATTTAAGATCTTATTCAACTTGTGATAGCACCCTTAATAGGAAGGTAATGAAGTAGACATTTGCTTCTAAATTTTGCTAAACACAAGGCAACGTCCTCGGGTTGATCTTTTAGCCTCGCTATGCGAAACTGCCCGATACGTAAACAAAAGCAGCTATAAAGAGACTTCTGTTAAGAAAATGTTACATTACCTGTGTTTTCTGTGCTCATTGCTTCTTTGCTAATATCTAGTTGATCTCCTTTGGTTTCGATGCTCAAGATCAGAGGTTTTCTTTACAACGGAGCTGTCTTGACCCAAAAGCGAAACAACAAAGCTACCATATGGTATGAATCGATTCAGCAAGTTTATTTGAGTTGGTCGATCAGAGTCTTGTTACGGGTGGCGGTATATGCCGAATGAGAGCTTTCTTGACCACCATGTGTCCAAAGCAAAATGCTGTTGTTAGGTTAACACCCCGACACTGATTGGCTGTGAGAACTAGCGAGTTTCAAATGAGCTGGCAAAAATTGCAAAACTGAGACAAGGAAATGCGCGGAAGATGTTACGCTGGCGTTGCAAAATATTACGCGAGCTATAGCGTTCTGATCTTTAATCTTTATTCACCTATTTGCTACAGGAGTGCTAGAGCACTTTTCTGGCTCTAAACGAAAACTTTCCCTTTGACAGCAGTTCCTCCCCTTCTATCCACATAGATTTTTCTATAGAGTGTGACAGGGCAGAGAAAAACTAAAGAATATCGTATGAAGTTTAAAGAAGCAATGACGAAGGCATGTGTTTAAAGAGCTTCTTACTCGGCTGTGATATAATACAATACTACATAACAACACTGCAAGATACATTCGGAATCGGTGCGCAATGTTTTCCCTTGCAATAACTGTTATAGAAAAGTGACTTTAATTGAGGTCACTATTGTGATCGAAAAGTATTTCAGCACGTTTTAAGTTAAATCAGTCCTTTAATCGTAGTTAAATTTAAGCTAATTTTTGAAAGAGAAACTATTAGACATAACGATCGCTAAATTACTGAATATCTAACATGAAAGTTGAAGCTTAACTATAATTCTGAAATGATCTGATACTGAAACACTCAAACTAAAATATTTGCTTTGGACACCTTGAAGGACTATATTCCATGAACTATAATCTTGAAGGACTATATTCCATGAATGGAGTCAATGGAGTTATTTTATGTAGATGACATCACCCTCTGGTATAATAAAAAGAGCTTCACAAAGAAGCCTGAGTTTACACCATTCACAGAGGTTTACCTTGTATGGAAGAAAGTCTATAGCGACTATTCAACGACAAAATCATTATATGGTCATCCATGGAAACAAATAATCACCTAAAATAATCATATTGATGAGAGTCATCACCGGCATTACGTAACTGGGCAGTATCCATTCTAACCATTAACAAATTCAATTTCAATATCATTAGTTGCATAACAAATTCAATAGCGAGGTCGAGTGAGGTCAGGTCATTTGACCAATGTGGATGGTAACTGCTTTTGAGTTTGCATATTCTGATCATTGTGACTGTACCCTTTTACCAGTCGAGGTTCCAATGAAAAATGCACTTTGGTGGAATTCACATTAAGTTTTTAGATCTTATAATGCAGCTAAATTTGAACAATTAGCAGTGCAGCCCATTTGATAACATTATAAGTATTGATAGTTGCTACAAAGACAAAATAAATCGGCCAGAAAATATCCACTGTTATGAGCAAAGTTACAGCAGACCGATCGATTTTGTGCCAGTATTTTAAGATCAGCATAAATAAGACTGGCATTTCTGTGATATAAGAAAACGAAACAAAGCAGTCTCCGTAACCTCTGGTAAGAAATAGTACTGTGACACAAGGCTCTTTCCTTGGTCTGCTTTTGCTTAACGCGTATACTAAGACAGGAGACAAACACCTTACGTCCTCTAATATCGAATCAAAGATGCGCGAAGTAACATACTGGTTTTGTCATTGCATAGAAATTGAGAAAGGGACGGTTCAAAATAGATCCAAAAGTGCTGATATAAGCAAAACACAACAATGCAAAACATATTTGTTAATATGTTTTCGTAAACTAGAAAAATACTGTTAAATTTTTGCATAAGAAAAAAATTCAACTGATCATGCACATACCTTAACTAAAGGTGATAGTTGTTGTCTTCAGGCAACTAAACCTTTTTGAGTCTGTAAATGTCTGTGAATTTAGAGACAAAAGACAATATAAACTTCCAGCAGCTATAACTCTACCTGAAAATTAAGTTTAAATCTTTTCAGCATAGAAGTTTTCTGACAAAAAATTCATTAAATAGATAAAATATTTGCAAATCAAATTTTAATGCCCCCTAAATCCTATATTATATCGAAACACTAGCTTTCAACCTCGAATCACAAAAATAGTTCGACTTTCTGCTATTTAAACTCTGTGTATAATTGACAAGTGCTACGTAAATTATATAAACAGAAGGTTGGTTTATTCTATATAATCTAGGGTTGTAAGTTTATTCTATCAAAACGTTCATTTTTCTTTCAAAATCGCGTGCAAGAGCATCGCAGTCCAGCTGAGGGCTGCAGCTTGGGTGAACGCATAACCAACTGCGTTGCAGTTAAAGCCATTCATAAAATGTATTGGTCATTGTTGTATCAGGCTCTCCTGCCTGGCAAGAAGAAGATGACCAGTCGCTCTGTTGCCTAGTTGCTTGTAATTCGTTTCAATTTCCTACAGCATTCACATGAATGGATAAACAAAAGCCAACTGTATAATCTGCTGATCAACAGATTTGAAGATCAAAACTCTTTGAAGACATTATTGTTTACTGCTCCTTTTTCACTAGTTGTCACTAAAAACTTGCCTTCACCACCAGCAGTATTGGTACGAATAATTTTGTTTATCGCACTTTCATCCAAAACACAAGGAATACGAATTTATCAAATCCACCAAGCTGGGTTTCAAGCAGCGATGATTCAGTCTAGGTAATGCAAGGAGGTGTCAGCGACTGAATCAGCAAAAAAACGATCTGAGAGATTTCACGAATGCAGAAAACACACTTCCGTTAAAGGAGCTTTGGACTAAAGTTTGTCAAAATCAAAATGACGACTTTGCAAATATGAGAACCAATGTTTTCACGAAATACCCCCTCCCCACATTTACAAATGGATTAGACCAAAACTTGTTAAAATTAAGACCTTGTAAAAGATGTCAAAAAGGTAAACATTGTGTTGGTTGCGAGAGCATTTCCAGCGAGGTGTTGAGTGATGACAAGCCCATAAAGAGATCATTTCTCAAGAACATATTCCAAAGGCAGTAAAGCGAACAGGTGTAAATAGTTCCCATAATTACATTCAAGGACAAATTTGCTGACTTCATCGAACTTGGTTTGCAACGGGTTTCCAAATGTCAAATTGCCCAACAACCTGTCGCTAAGAATAAAAAACAACGGCAACATCTAATTCCATCGAAAACCTTACGCATGTTCAAGAATATTCTCATTTGTAACAAGTTGACAAACAATGCCAACTTACAAAGAGAATTCCCAGTTGAGTAGAAAGCTTTATACCGACTCTTTAATGGGACAATCAGGTCATGATATTACAACATTGCAAGCCAATAAGTCTTTTTACCAAGACATCACCGAAGTTCTCTGCTCGTAGCTAATGCCCTTAGGTTTTTCCTAGTCCGAAACATTGATTTTTTGAAACAGTGTCTTTTCTAATCGATACTTTTCTAATCGACACTAGAGATTCACATAGACATATGATTCAAGGTTTACGATACATAGTACTTGCTAGTTTTCAGGTTTCTCTAAACACTCTCTCAATGCAAAGCTCTAAAAACACGTTTGGGTCAGCTAAAGTTATAGAGATGTAACGGACTTAACGAGTAGATGATGGAGCATTAATCATCTTGTGTGTAGAAGAAGACGACATGATGGTAAAAAACCATTATTTGATATACATATACACACACAATAAACAACAAATAGAAAATAAATATTCTTTAGAGTAAAAAGAATCAAAACCTTCTTAATGGAATGGAGAAGTTTTAAGACGTTATGCACAACAGTCGTTATTCTGTAGTCTGGCTGAGTCGCCATTATGAATCTGATGTTTGTCAACAGTTGATGCTCTATTGCTGAGTCTCAATTGATTTTGAGTCCCAGTTGAGTAAATTGAGTAGAAGGCAGCTAAAATAGGTCATCAAATAACCACAC